TCTTATATGCCGGAGCGTCTTATATGGCGAAAAATACGGTAGTTAGAATGAGATTTCTCTTCCCTGGATTCTGCAGGACATTTTTGATCAGATTGTTATGATTATACTGCTCCCCCCGCCAGAAACTCTTTAATGCAAGGTTCCATCACTACATGCTTGAAAGATGCTTTTACTATTAAGCATCCATGGTTAAGCATACCAGCCTTCCCACTCACTACATGCATACTTCCAAATTTGAAGCCTGTGGAGGCGAGTCACTTTCTTTTAAAAAAGCCCTCACAGGGTGAAAGGACAAAGGCATTTACTCTATTTCCTAGACAACCTCACAAGCGGAGTTGGTATTCTTAACATAATGAATCACACACATCTAGACTCAGAACCACCAGCTGATGTCAGCTTTACAGAAAATAGGTACTGTGGAGTGAGGGCAAGGAGCAAAAAAATTCTTCATTTTCTTTTAACACATCATTTCTGTTCAGCAGATAAATTCACATATCCTTGCAATATAGCCTATAGGAAGCCAACAAGAGTCTTCCTGCCAGCAAACAGTGCAGGAAAAATGTGTACATAAAGGCATGGAAATCGGAACTGGGTAAATTGAACAATTATAGAAAATCAGAAGGGTGTCTCTCTTTCAGAATTTCAAGGCATTAGTTGTCTGGATGGCTGTTACTTACAATTCCAAGCATAGCTCTGGGATGCTTACATTTTCTTTGCTCACACAGCAAAGTAAACTTCTACATGAGAAAATGGAGGAGGGTTGGAATAAAATGAGGCATTTTAAGTTCAAGCTAACCCGGGGGGGGGGGTAAGAAGCAAGATATGGGTTATATCAACAACAGAAATGAACATATAGTCAGCTAGAAATGAGTAATGAGAAATTACACACAACAAGGCTACCTGAAATGACTTACTTTTTAAAACAAGGTCATAACTATGGGCCTTTGCAGACTGCCAGAAATAGTGCACATTAAATTGAGGCACTGCCCTGGCTCAGTGCTAGGGAATCATGGGAACTGTAATTTATTGTGGCACCAGAGCTCTCTGACAGAGAAGGCTCAATGTCTCAGAAAAAAATACAGTTCCCATGATCCCCTAGCACTGAACCAGGGCAGTGCCTCAATTTAATGTGCACTATTTCTGGCAGTCTGCTTAGGCCTTCAGTTACTTATTAAAAGTAGCATCACAAGTGGGATGAAGTTACTTCGTTGGTATAATGAGTAGCATTTTCTAGTTACTTTCAAGACATTTTCAGAAGCATTTTAACAGGAATTATTGATGCTTCATGTCATTCTCTTATCAAGCTTAGGGAGCTTTTTGAAGTGTCAAAAAGAAACTAGTAGTGTAACAAGGTGCTTTTAAACTTTGTAACAAGCAATGACAATGATTTCCATCAAATGTTACAAAGAATAGCTGGAACAAATTACAGTACAGTACTTGCAATAAGTAACTTTCCAAGCTCTGTCCTACACATATATGATGAACACATCAATCGCCAGAGGACAAATATAGCCTTTTCTCATCCTACTTTGTATCAGCCTCTTTTGTGCTTTCATAGTGTTTATACTTCTTTTCTTATAGTGCTACATTCACACAGTTACTCGGACCTTTTAAACAATGCCAGCCCTGAATAACATTACTGGAAAACAACTAACCGGAAATAAAGAGAAAAGTACAATTTTATTAGTCACACTATGACAATACACATTGTAAAATTTGAGCACTTTTAGGGCTATAATCATATACCAACTAGTTAACTGTTGTGTGCACTTCTGACTTATGGAGACATTAAGACAAATCTTTTTTCTTGGCAAGATTTGTTCAGAGTAGATTTGCCTTTGCCTTCCTCTGAAGCTAAGCGAATGTGACTTGCCCAAAGTAATCCAGTGGTTTTCCATGGCGGAGCAGGGATTCGAACCCTGGTCTCCACAGTTATAGTTCAACACTCAAACCACTACATCACACTGACTCTCTATACCTACTTATCTGAGAGTAAGTCCCACTGAAATGCTAAGCAGGCACACACAAAGTACACTCTGGGCCTTTGCAGACTTCTAGAAATAGTGCAAATTGAGTCCACTTTAAGGGTTAGGGTTAGGGAATCATGGGAACTATATTTTATTGTAGCACCAGGGCTCTCTGACAGAGAAGGCTCAATGTCTCAGAAAAAACTAATTCCCATGATTCCCTAACCCTAACACTAACTCTTAAAGTGGACTCAATTTGCACTATTTCTAGCAGTCTGCAAAGGCCCTCTGTAACATCTCCCAAGAGCCTGCTCTTGTAAGGTGGACATATTTGTGCATAAGGTACTATACTTTTCTTTATATATTATTCCAATTCTAATAAATTTTCCAGACTGATCTGATAATGTGTACTTTACTCTTAAAGCAACATAAATTTGTGTTTTCAGCACTGTAACAATCAGCTGGCTAAACCTCCTTGGTAATCATATCAGTACTCATGGACACACCTTTTGGTGTCCAAGATAGTTGTGATTTTGTTTGTTGTTGTTGTTAACCACCCTTGAGTTGATCTTGACTTACGGCAATCCTGTGGATGAGACAACTCCAAGACTCCCTATCCTCCACTATTCTCCTAACCTCTTGCAGATTCATACTCATGACCTCCTTAATTGAGTCCATCCATCTAGCATGTGATCTTCCTTTCTTTCTATTTTCCTCCACCTTTCCTTCCATTATTGTCTTTCCTAAAGATTCATGCCTTCTCATGATGAGGCCAAAACATGAGATCCTCAGTTTAGTCATCTTTACCTCCAGGGAAAATTCAGGCTTGATCTGTTCTAGGTCCCATTTATTTGTTCTTTTTTGCTGTCCATGGTATCCTCAGCACTCTTCTCCAGCACCACATCTCAAATAAATTTATTCTCTTTTTGTTTTTTTATTTTGTTATCATGTGCATATTACTTGAAATATTCCTGTACCTGCCATTTGTAACTGTTCACGCTGTAATTATACAGACTAGTCTCCACCCTTTACAGAGTTTACATAGGTAGTGGCAGCTGCAGTAGTAATAGTAGGCTCAGTGGACATCTTACTGGATCCAATTTTCTCCTCATATCAGTTCAACAGTCTATAAATCCAGGTGACAGCGAGCTCTTCCATCCTTGTGATATCAGCAATCCATCCCTGCATTCTCCTACCTAATTATCCATCCCAAACCCAGCTCCTTCGCTCTTTGCTGTATGAGCCTGCCCAGGCCCTGAGACTATTAGGGGAGATCCTTCTGTCAGCCCACTATCATCACAAGCACGGCTGGTGGGGATGCAAGAAAGGGCCCTCTTGGTGGCTGCCCCTAGGCACTAGGTCTAGGATTTCCTTCCAAAGGAAATCAGAATGGCACCCTCTTTGCTATAATCCCATCCACAGGCAAAACCCTTTTTATTCTGACAAGCTTTCAAAACAGATTGTTTTTAAAGAATGGGCTAAGAGTGTGTTATTGTTTTAGACTGAACTGTTTTAAAGTAGTTTTTATTGAAATTTTACCTTTTCAAATGTAGGTTTGAATTATTTTAATACTGAGACTTGTTTTGTTGTTTGTTTTTGTCTATCTTCAAGTCATTCCTGACATATGAAAACCCTAAGGCAAACCGATTATGGGATTTTCTTGACAAGATTTGTTCAGAAGAGGTTTGCTATTTCCCAATGAATATGAGGCTGAGAGTATGTGACTTGCCCAAAGCTTAAGTGGGAACCAAACTCTGGTCTCCAGAGTCACAGTCCAGCACTCTAACCACTATGCCATGTGGGCTCCCCACTAGTTTAGTTGCATTTAGAAACTAGTTTAGTTGAATTTTAATCTTTACTTTCTGTAATTTTTTAGCAGCATTGTTATTTCTAAATTGAAAGCCAACTTGCGTTCCAAATTTGGGAGAAACGTAGAATACAAACAGATCTAGTAACAGTGATAATACCTTCCAGCAACAAACAGAAACCCATATTCATTGGGAAATAGCAAATTCACACAAGATACAATGCAGTAATTAGGTGCAAAATCAATCTCAGTGCATTTTTTCAATTTCTCATGAAAGCTCCCAACTGTGGGGCATTACTAAATAAGTATGGTTGATGGAATGCCCTGGAACACAACAAGATTTAATCAGGATGTCATGCAATCACACTAAGATTGTAATATGTTATCCAATCCAGTCAGCCACAATTGCCGATGCAGTCAAAAAGATCATTTCTGCCCATTTTCTCTGCTGGGAAATCAGTTAGCAGCAAAGTCTCCAAGATGTTGCCCCATTCCATTTCAAAAAGCAGCAGTGCTTTGGGAGCAAATCAGTACAAATGTTGCCTTCTTTCTTTCCTTAAAGATCACTAACACAAGTTCTCTTGCTTGATCACAGTAACTGCTTCAAAGAAGTAGGAAGAACAAAAGCAGAGCTAAGCCAAGAACTGCAAGACTATTGACACAGGAACCTAAGCCTATTGACATGCACCAAATGAAATGTTATTGGTAAGCAAGTCCTGCTAGCTGAGACCAAGGCTCTGTTTTGAAAGAGTACTTTCCAAGCCTTTAACTGCACTGCTAGATGCTCAGCATCAGCCCACCAAAGCCTTAAAGACATAGAGTAAGGAGATAGGAGGCCAACAGGAAAAGCTATCAAATCTTCTTCAAAGGTTAACCTTTTGCTCTGCCTTTCCTAGCCTAGACTCATCTGTTTTATACATAAGTGCAGAAGAGAGGAACTGAGAAATTGCATCTATACTTTTCTCAATAACCTCTGAGTCACCCTTAGAAAGAAGGGTACACTCTACTGCATTTGGCAATCCATCAAACCTATCCCACTGCTGGCTTTGTTTACCTATAACTTCATCCCATATTTTTAAAAAAAAGCATAACCAAGGGAATTTGGACCCACTTAAACATTTTTGAGTGCAGTGCCACTGATAAGAAAATCCTTATTTTAAAAAGAAAAAGAAAAAGAAAAAAGAACTATATTACCGTACTTTTGCAGCCCATTCTGCATGTTTATTTAGGCCCCTTTTTAATTCAAGCATCTATATGGGCTTTTAAACTGCCATGCAAAAGATTTTCCTTTTTAAAAATTTAATATATAATTAAAGGCTTTAAATTGAAGAAAGGAGAGGAACTACATTAAGGCTGCAGTTCTATGCACATTATGTGAGAGTAAGGCCAACTAAAGTCCATGAAATTTACTTCTCAGTAAATACATATGGGATTGCACCATAAGCCTCCAGCCCTGTACTCCTAATGGCATATACGTAGAAAGCAAAATGAACACACATGATAAACATACACACAGCCATCATGTGTCTTTGTGTGTTGTTTTTTTACATCACAATACAAGCTTCAAGAAGGTACATGCTTTCCTCCTACCTTGAAATAGTACCTGTTTAGGGAAATAGCTATCTGGAAAGTGACCCTCAGACATTCCTAAACTGCACTGAAGTTAATAAGACTTACAGTTATACCAGGTGATAGAGTCAGAGATCAAAAGAACTACTCCACAAATGGACTTTTCAGCAGTGCTTCCAGACTGCATTTAAGGTCATAGTATTAGCTTAAATCAAACAAGTTAGGTCACATTACAATGGTGGTGACAACAACAACAGCTTAGCATTTATAAAGTACTTTGCAAGGACCTGAAGGTGTAAATGTGTTATTTTATAATTAACTGCTTTGGAATAATTCTCTCTAAAAGCAATACTTACTTCCAAATAAAACATAGACTTTCATTGGCTATCACTGATATGCTGTTGTTGGTTTCTTTAAATAGGTATAAAGTGCTTTACCATATGTAGTATATTTATTCTCATCAACAACCCTGGGAAGCAGCTTATTTTTCTGCCTTTCACAAATGATACTAGGATCCCCCTCTCCATGCATGATGCTGTGACTTAGGTGCACTTTAAGCCCACCAGCGCTCTTGGTGTTGTTCTGTGCCTTCGTCATCTTTAACTTATGGCAACCCTATCATGTGGTCTTCTTGTCAAGTTTCTTCAGAGGGGGATTGCCATTACCACTGCCATCCTCTGCGGCTGAGAGAGTGTGACTACTTGCCCAAGGTCACCCACTATGTTTGCATGGCCAAGCCAGGATTCAAATCCTGGTCTCAAGAGTCATAGTCCAAATGCTCAAACTGCTACACACTATGCTGAAACAGAACTCACAATGCACAATTAAAGCACTATGATTCTCTTGAAATGTCATGGTTCCATCCTACAGATCCTGGGATTTGAAGTTTTGGTGGTGATGGTAACTGCTGTCAGATCTATTTTGACTTATGGTGACCCTGTGAATAAGACCTCCAGGTCACCCTGTCGTAAACAGCCCTGCTCAGGTCTTGCAGACTCAGGGCCTTGGGCATTTAGAAATCTCAGCCAAAGAGCTCTAGTGCCACACCAATAAACCTCAGGATTTCTGACAGTTAAAGAACTTCTGGGCGCAACTTGCTATGAAAACCTTGTGGTAGGTTCACCTTGGGGTCCCCATAAGTTGGAAATGACCTGAAGGCACACAACAACAACAACAACAACAAAAGTGGAATCATAGTGTTTTAATGGTGTATTGTAAAAGGGCCCCAGGTCTCCAAGTTCAACCCAAGGCTCAATGGCTTTGATCTGCACTTTGAAAACTGGAGCAAACTGATAGAAACTCAAGCCTGCTTGCACAGGTTTCCTAAACTAAACCACAAGTCTTAGAACAAAAGTTTAGTTTCTGAACTAAAACTCCCCAAATCCTCCAGCCACTAACATCCATACTGGTCATACAGGCTGTGAGATTCTGGGGCTTGCAGTTTCAAACCATAAACAGGATGACTAGAGCTCCTTCTTTCCCAGGACATGTCCTACATTTCAATCTTCTGTCCAGGAAAAATTCCCAAATGCCTTCCATTTCGAGCCTGACTGAGATGCATGAATTTATATTTATATGAGTGTTTTTAGCATTTATTTGGTAACAGCCAAGATTTTTCTTGAATGT